GTCAACTCCCTGCCGCTGACTGAAGCCACGAGCCACGTAACGCGCCTTGAAGACAGGCGGAGAACCCGGCGGCCGCTTCACCCTGAAAATCCACATGCCACTGACGATGTTCGCCCCAGGCGGGGGAACCTCGTCAACGTAGGTGCCTGTGGACTTCCAGGAAGCCATCTCTGTGTCCATAGCTGCCTGCCACTGAGAGGAGTAGGGACCCTCTATCGCCTCCGCGTAAGAGCGCGGAGTCGGGATGTCAAGTGCATCCGGGTCTCCCTCAGGGGTAAGCAGTACGGACACGAGATGAGGTGAAGCAGCAGCCAAACACTGGAACTCCTCCTGCCTGTCCTCAAGGACGTCCGTGCCAAGGGCACACTCACCCCCGACGGAAGGAGGACAGACGGACTCAGACTCAGCGACAAGACAAGCAGCGTAGTCTAGACGACAGCGAGCAGCAAAGTCGACGAGCTCAGCAACTAGGGCAGACGCAGCAGTGGACGCAAAGGAAGGGTCAGTGACGACAGTAGCAAGGAGACGCGTGACAGTAGGAATGGCAGCACGAAGAGAGTCCGACTCCGGGTCGGGAAGAGCAGGAAGAGAGGACTCAGGAGGAGAAGGCAAAGGGGCACGCAGAGGAGCAGTGGACGGACGCAGAGACATCCGGTGCGTGCCAGGGACAGGAGGAGGACGCTGACGCGAACCACGACCACTAGCGCAGCAAACACCTGACCCGACGCAGCTACCTGACCAGACGCAGTGACTGGAGGAGACGTAGTGGTCAGGGTGTACAGGCTCGACCCCGGCCGACGGGTAAACGTGGCCAGGTGTCGGCCAGTCCGAGCGTCCGTGCAGTGGGTCACCCGCTGACTCGCAGGAGTGAACTGGTGAACCCCCGCATCCTGTAGGTCAGCACCACTCACCAAGTTCGTAGAGAACGAGGGGAGGTAAAGACCAGACAGGGTGCCAGAGGGGGCCGCCGGACACGGGAGGACAGTGGAGAAGTGAGCAAGGACAGGACCCCCAGAGGGGTCTGCCAGAGAGACCGCAACTGGCCGGCCAAGCGGAGTGAGTGTGGTGCGGTCTCGAAAGAAGGAGCGAGAAGCCCCCGAGTCAAGGGTGAAGGTGTGGGAGGCCGAAGCCGACGCAGAACCTGAGAGAGCAGACTCACCAGCACCTGAGGGAGCAGACGCACCTAGAGCAGCAGCCTCGCTAGCACCTAGAGCAGCAGCCTCACCAGTACCTAGAGCAGCAGTCTCAATGCCCGGGTCGGGCGGAAAACACCGGTAACAGTCACCCTCATCAATAATAGTCACAGTATACATAGCAGCAAGAATAGCATCAAAGTCAAGGTCAAAGACAGCGACACCCGCCCTAGACAGCTCACCCCAGCGGGGGATCTCAGTGGCCTCAGGGAACTGGTGACGCCAAGCGTCCGTCAGGCGGCCAAAGCAGCGCTGGGTGGAGTGCGCCCCCCCGCACTGGTCACCCGCGCGGTCGCCGGTGCGGAGGACGTAGGTGCACGGACCAGTACCCCCACCCCGCTGGCGTGCAGCGTACCACTCACGGAGCTGCTGAGGGGGGGGGATGTCACGAGTGCGCTGCTGCTGCTGCTGCTGCTGCTGGCGCTGACCACCACCGGAGCCAACCCTCTGCGCAGCGCCACCCCGACCAGCTCCACCTCCTCCGCCGCCGCCTCCTCCACCGCCGCTACCTCCGCTCCCACCGCCACCGCCGCCGCCGCCTCCGCCTCCTCCGCCGCCACCGACACCTCCACCCCCACCACCACCCCCACCGCCACCCCCACCCCCTCCACTGCCTCCACCGCCGCCTCCACCGCCCCCGCTAGCTCCTCCAGTGCCCCTGCCCCCCTTGCCCTTGCCAGGGCGGCGTCTCCCGCTAGGGGTAGACGCCGCACCGACCGACTCAAGCCCAACGAGGTCGGCCGCAGCAGCAGAGGCAACAGAGGGCAAAAGGGGGGAGGGGGAACACCCCTCAAAGATGGGGGTGCGAGGGTCACCACGAGAGGCTCCTACAGCGACTATGCTCTTCTCTGCTGCTAGGAGGGACTTCTCGAGGAGGTCAACGGTGAGAGTGGTGGGGCAAACTGAGAGGAAGTGGTCCCTGACTACGCGAAGGGAGTCAGGGAGCCGGGTGACTATGTAGTAGAGGGTGATGTACATGGGGGGGGGGTTCTTGGCGCAGAACTCAGCAGGAAGCGCAGCGCGGTAGCGAGTGTCACTAGTGCGGAGGTGCGTAATGAGGTCAGCGACTGTGGGAAAGGCAGCAAGGTCAGGGAAGAGGTACGGTAGCATGAGGCGGCTCAGTGCAGCAGTGGCAGGGGAGGAGTAGCGCGCAACTACAGTGTCGTACAAGGTGTGAGCACTCTTGTACTGGCTAAAGTGCGCACGCTCAGAGGTAGGCAGGTGGCGACGCACAGCAAGACGTGCAGCAGCATCGCGCGTGGCCCACTGTGAGCGAACAGTGGCGTCAGCATCAGCAGCGGGGGCAGGGGAGGCACCAGAAGTGAGGTCAAAGAGGGAGAGGCCGTCTGCTCTGTCGCACTGTAAGAAAAGCTGCAGGTCATCTATCCAGACGTCAAAGTCAATGGCCCGACCCTCAGCATCAAAAGCGAGGACACTAGGGGTAGCCATGACAGCAGTAGACTAGCAGCGCAAACAGTAGGGTGAGGGCAGTGCTGTGAAAGAGGCGCTGCTCTTACCGGACAGGGCGGCTCGGGTGGCTCGGTTGCAGGGCGGCTCGGCGGCTCGGCTGCTGGGCGGCTCGGCGGCTCGGCTGCAGGGCGGCTCGGCGGCGCGGCTGCTGGGCGGCTCGGCGGCTCGGCTGCTGGGCGGCTCGGCGGCTCGGCTTCTGGGCGGCTCGGCTGCCGGGCGGCTCGGCGGCTGGGCGGCTCGGCTGCTTGGCGGCACGGCGGGGCCGCTGAGAGGGCGGCGCCCGGGGCCGCTGGGAGGAGGCGGCGAGGCCGCTGAGAGGAGGCGGCGGGGCCGCAGGTAGGTGGCGGGGCCGCTAGTAGGTGGCGGGGCCGCCGGTAGGTGGCGGGGCCGCTGGTAGGTGGCGGGGCCGCAGGTAGGTGGCGGGGCCAGCACAGGTAGGTGGCGGGGCCGCGGGTAGGTGGCGGGGCCGCTGGTAGGTGGCGGGGCCGCAGGTAGGTGGCGGGGCCGCTAGGAGGTGGCGGGGCCGCAGGTAGGTGGCGGGGCCGCTAGTAGGTGGCGGGGCCGCAGGTAGGTGGCGGGGCCGCACAGGTAGGTGGTGGGGCCGCACAGGTAGGTGGCGGGGCCGCGGAGGGCGGCGACGAGCCGTAGGGGGCCGTGAGGGGCCGCGCGAGGGGCCGTAAGGGGCGTAAGGGGCCGCGCGAGGGGCCGTAAGGGACGACGCGAGGGGCCGTAAGGGGCGGCACGAGGGGCCGGAAGGGCGGCGCGACGGGCGCGACGGGCCGTAAGGGCGGTACGAAGGGCCGTAAGGGGCGGCGCGACGAGCCGTGAGGGGGCCGCTAAGGGCGACGCGACGGGGCCGTGAGGGGCCTAGCGAGGGCGCGACGGTAGGGGGGGAGCACCCAGGGCGCGACTCGGGCCTGAGCGAAGCGCGCTACGGGCAGGAAAAAAAAAAAAATTTCGTGGTGGTGGGCCCTAGGAATCGTTCCCACTAGGGAACCTGCTCGATACCATGAGAAGAAACGAGGAATGGAATGACTAAGGGAAAGTTGGGTACAAAATGCAAACCCTAGAAAACTGTACCCCATATGTGCTACCCCACTATAGCCTACAGTAGCTCTGTCATATAAATCTGACATAATATAGTGAAAATCGCATTGAAACCCTTGTTGTACGGTGTACAGCTCGGTTGAAATGTTGCGGTACCAGTCAGGGAATTCGCGCACAGTTGATGGGTACCACGCAGGGAAGATGGGTACCACGGAGGGAAGATGGGTACCACCAAGGGGTGCGCATGATCTGACGGGTACCATCGAGCCACGTAGGTGACTTTTGACGTCAGCGGGCTCGATGTTGGTTACCCAGAATGTAATTACCCAAGTTTTTTCGCAAGTCACGTTCGCTACCGCGACTTGGAACCTAGACTTTTTTCTTGCGGGCAAAACGTAACCCTAAACCAACGGAAAAGTTACTTTTCCGTTGTTTTTTGCGGTTCCCTTTTCCGCGATGATTGGGTGTTGCAGGGCGCTACGGGGATAATTCAAGGGACCTAGGGAGACAGGAAATCCGGCGAAAGGCCAATCCAAGGCCCAGGCGGCTCGAGCGCAACCCAGCACGCTGAGTACCTCGCGACTGGGTAGCCAAGCATAAAGTAGCCTAGCCTAGCATACTATTCCTGTTCTCTCGTTTGTTAACCAGTGCATAGTGGATTTGATGTTACCGTTCTAAGCTATAGCAGCAAGGTGACAACGCCACTCTTGGTAGCCAGCTGTGGGAGTCCGAATCTCTCATGGAAGTGGCTGAGGAAGGAGTAACGGTGCAAGGCAGGAGAGGGCAGGACTGGGATGAGGGCAGTAAGGCAAGAACAGAGGAAGCCAGCGGAGTAGGACAAGGGATGGGGCACAAGTGAGAGCCA